TTCATATATTTTAGCTTCATTTTGAGATCCTAAAAATTCTCGTCTAGCATCTTGCGTAAGGAAGCTAGCTGGATTATCAATTTGTATACTATAATGTTCCAATATATTTTGAAGTTCTTTTTTATCGTTGGCGATAATTCGACCTAATTGAGGAAGAAAGGATGGAAATTTGGAAATGTCACCAAATCATTATAATAAGATACGATCTAATTCATTCATGAAGGTCAGAAGCAATCGTGATCTAACCGTTTGCAGACTTTAGCTTGCACGTGGAATGGCCATCTCTCCGAATCTGCCTTTCAAGGAAAATTTTGGGACCAAAATCTTTCCTGCGATATGCATCGGGGCCGTTGTTTGCTAAAGTTATTATAATCCGAGCGTATCTACGACAAAGAATTCAAATAATATCGATGCATTTCAACTGTTGAGCAATTTCTTTACTATGTAAAAATATATTTCAAATGAGAATATCCGTATTTTAGACCGATATGCGGTAGTATGCAATGGATAAAAAGTACAATATTAGATATTGTAAGTATTCCTTTGCGAAATTATCCCTTTATGCATAGTTCCAGTATGATTAACTATAATGACGACAACAAATAATGTAAGTATTCTTTCGCGAAACTTTCCCTTTTTGCATCATTTTGCATGACTGATTTATGTATCACCAGTAATTTAAAGCGATATCCAGTTGTATATCAGTGGATAAAAAGTACTATCAATACCACTGTTCTTGTCAACAACAGATAATGTGAGTATTCCTCGGCGAAACCTCCCTTTATGCATAATCCTTGTATGATTGATTTATGCATCGTTGGTAATTTTACAGCGATATGTAATTGTACGAAATGGATGAAAGTACTGTCTATCCAAGGTTGTTATTGACAACAACAGATTATGTAAGTATTCCGTTTGTGAAAGTTTCCCCTTCATGCGTGATTGATTTACGCTTTACGTCGTTATCACTGGTAATTTTAGATCGATATCCAGTTGTATGCAATGGATGGAAATTCTACATCTCCAATTGATATTGACAACAACAGGTCGTTAGTATTCCTTGGTGAAACTTTCCCTTTATACTGTACATAATCTTGCATGAGTGATTAAGGTATTCCAAACGCGTAGTTATCCCTGGTAATTTTAGGCTGATATCCAGTTGTATGTAATGGATAGAAACTGTTCATCCGAGATTGACATTGACAACAACAGATTATGTAAGTATTCCTTTGTCAAACTTTTCCTTTTATATGCGATAGTTTTGTATGATTGATTATATATGACTGTTAATTTAAGACCGATATCCAATTGTACGCTATGGATGAAAAGCACTCTGTATCTGCTAGGCCTATTAATTAACACTTTAATTCGATAATGAGCTTCAAGCGTTGGAATATAACATTTCGCATGGTACTCACGTTTCAGCGGAAAGTCAATATTAATAATGGAATTCTTTTGCCAAACTCTCTTCATCATGCAATATCCTTGCATGATGGATTGGTAGATTACATCATTATTACTTGCCTATTAGCCATATCGATATTTTTTAATTTACACCTAACTTGAAGCGCTATCATATCACATTTGTCATGGCACTACAGTGTTGATGGAAAGTCAAATAACATGACAGTTTACTATCCATTGCAAGAACTGCAAGAACTGTATCCTGGTAGTAATTGAATATGGCATGTTATAAGCTATTCAAGTTAATAAGATTGCAATGGGGATTCTTCTGAAACACCTTGACATTCGCCATTCTCAATACGATCTTGATCATTTTTTTATTTAATACGTCTTTCTCTCCTTCACGATATCGAATAACCATTTTCTATTTGGATATACTCGGTCAATGTTGTAAGGATTTGAAGACGTTGAGTACAATAGGAAATAAGGACTTTTAAAAGGTGCCTGGTAGGCAACAAGCGTAGTTTAACGGGTAGAGCAACTTAATTATTTCTTGTTCTATTTTGCGAGCAAGACTGGCATGGATGGGAAAACAGTTTCAGTAGCTATTATTCGGTGATGGGATAGTGGTCGATTTACTGAACTACGATGTAGGTAAGACTGGATTAAAACCAATGCACTCAGATCAAATAATGTGCTATTCAAAATGACACTATTGGCAACATCGATTACAATCATCGGACATGTTGTCCATTACGATAGCGCATTGGTGGCAAAATAGTTATCAAAGAATGTTGACTAATAACGTAGCAATGCAACCTACATACGCTAGCCAGAAGATATTAATGCGAATTCCTATGCTAAGACAATACTACTGTATCTTTTCCAGCTGTGGATACACTAGGGTGCCCATTCAATGGATTATTTTGGAGATCATTTTACGCTTGTTGATGAAAATCGTTACTCGAATCTAGCTTAGCAACAGCATGGAACTATTTTTACTAGCAAGATGATACATGTTGAGTCAATGGGCTTATTTTGGTTAGGTTGATGAAACTAATTTTGTTTAACGGCAGAGTGTAAACCTTCTGATCACTGTATGAATAAAATGATGGAAAGAAGAACTGCTGCCAATGCAAAAGGGTTTTACAATTTGAGAGTCAAGATGGCTGACATTGGATTTGCCTAAGCGTATCACTATAGGCCATTGAAATGCCAAGAAGATGGCACGAACTTGCCAGCAAATAGTAAAATACTTACTTGGCGTCTTTTTTAATGAATTCCTTCAAGGAAGAAGCTCGATTGGTAATGCTAGGACGTCCACTTAAGCAAATGATGATACCAGTCATGATTGCACTTTTACCACCTAGATTGAAGATTAAACTATTTTATTGACATGACAGCCATGATAAAATTGAATTGAATGTTATCGTAGTTCAATTGTTGCTAAGGTTAGGCTAAGAAAGGATCAAGCTTAGCAATAATCTATATCTGCTATAGTAGATACTTACTTCCATTTCTGCCAATGATGATATTGACATTTCCTCCTAATGTCATCGACAGATTGGAATGGCACATAAAATTAATCAATTGGATCTGTAGGATTATACCGCTTTTCGTTTGATCGTCTATTTGTGAATCATTGCTTTCTTCTATCTGCAATTGGCAAGACCATGTAAGAAAAAAAATGTATTAGTTCATTATAGAGTCGTTTGCTGTCAGTCGGCAATTTTCAAGACAAGGTAGTACGTTAAAGGTAGAAAAATGGAAGTTAGACTGATTGTGATGGAGTGCGGAGCGATGTAGGTGGAGAAGACGACTGGCACATTGGACAGTGTTGATGATGAAGAAATGTGGCGTCATAATTGTTTGTAGGAGGTTGGTAGCCTAAATAAAGGATGGTCATCGAAAGACGTTCAACTTTGAGGTCTAAAGTAGTCAACCTATGAGCCAAAGTGTTACTGATCTACTGTAGTTGCAATAATTCAAGCCAAGTGGATTCAAAATACTACATTAGAGCAGAAGGATGAAGCTGCATTGTGCAGTGTTGATGTTCAAGAACCGCCATGATTGAATGTGTTTATCATGTATCCTATAGTCTAATACTAAGAAATGCAGCTATCGCTTCCTCGATCCTTGCACCCTAATGTCTGATTGAATGTGATCATTACCAGATCGTCGTCCAAGGCTTGTTCATCATGATAATCATGATCGGCCTTTTGTTGGCTGTCTTGTGATTCTTCAACACGACGTTTTTGAGGAAGTGTATTACTACTGACAATGATACAATCATCTTCATCATCGATCCATCGTTTATGATCGGCATTTTGTTGGCTGTCTTGTGATTCTTCAACACGACGTTTTTTAGGTAGTGTATTACTACTGACAATGATACAATCATCTTCATCATCGATCCATCGTTTATGTCTGTCAGCCATGTTGAATCTTCATCAATTGCATAAGGAAAAGTAGGCTAGCCCACCATCAGGCAAGATGGGAGTTTTCGATTTGAGGCGAAAGTAGCGTGCCCAACTGCGCATGTACCCTGTATTGATGGGCGTAAACCACCTGTATCTTCCCTGCCCGGTTAGGATGACAGAGGGCCTTTGGTAACCCCTTGCGGTATACAGTACATACAGTGTACGTATACTGTCATCGACCGTGTCCCATTTTGATGCAGGGATTACTATAGAAAAAATTCGACCCCCCCCCCACCCAGGGTGTACGTTATCTGATCCATGTTGATAGGCCTCCCATAAACGGTCGGTCGTTTGAAGTTGGCGGTCTAGTCGTTTACCAGACTGATATTTCATCGATAGTGTGGACTAGTCCGAAAGGTCTGGTATCCGATACGATACTGTATCACCTACAGTACTTAGAGTAGGTATCCAGTACAGTACTTTAGAGTCGATATACTGTACACTGTACAGTACTGCAGACTCTACTGCGCAAATTTACTGCGCACAGTGCAAGAGGCGATAGAAGGAAAGACGGACTGCCAACGGCTGGTCAACTACCTAACAACGGTATGGCTGACTGTTTTACTGGTCATTTCAACTCAATGGTATCTCTGAAATGATACACTGTACTGTCCGTGATTGCTATCCAAACGAGCTACGAGCTTGCTGACGAAAGGGTAGTATAGTAGACGGTTTCAGTCATAGCGTCTAGCAGAATGACCAGAAAAATGGTCAACCTTGCGGGTATTTTGCTGGCCAAGGTTTGTTGCCGATCTCTATTTCCCTTTAGCACTTCCTCAGGCTGAGATTGCTGCTGGAATTGAGCTGCTGGCTAAAATTGCTTTAGCCCTACCAATCGAGTGGGTTGAATTGGAGCTTGGCTGAAGTGATTTCCATTTTGGATGTTTGCAATCCCTACTGGCCATTTCGGTCATCCTTCGGCACTGTAGTAGCAACAACATACTGGTCCTGCAATCTAGCAACATCACCATGTCAACGACGACCACAACGTCCATTCAGGTGGTCGACGGCAATCTCTTGGATATCGAGCAATTTCGATCTCGTTATTTACATCAATGCCAGCCTGTTATCATTCAAAATCATGTCACCTCTTGGCCAGCTTACAATGCATGGGATTTCCAGTCTTTAAAGTCAAGAGTCGGTGATAACATGGTACACATTCGAAGAAATACTGATCAACAAGACTACAAGGTAGTGTTCGGTAGACAGGTTGCAAAGCCAATCCAGTAGCATGCAAACACCTCTTCAGTGCAAGCAATTAGTTATACGTTGTACCATAGTCTACTAAATTACAGGTGCATCGAGTAGTCCATGATTGTATATATTGCAAGAAACACTGATCAGCAAGACTACAAGGCAGTGTACAGTAGACGGGCTGCAAAGCCAATCTAGTAGCATGCAAACATCTCTTCACTGCAATAATTAGTTATAGATATAACGTTGTAGCTTGGACTACTAAATTACGAGTGCATCGAGTAATTTATGGTTGTACATATTGCAAGAAACACTATTCAACACGACTGCAAGGTAGTGTACAGTAAACGGACTGCAAAGCCAATCCAGTAGCATGGACTAATAAATTACAGGTGTATCGAACAGTCTATGCTTGTACATATTGCAAGAAACACCAATCAACAAGAGTACAAAGTAGTGTACAGTAGACGGGCTGCAAGGCCAATCCAGTAGCATGCAAACGTCTTTTCAGTGCAATAATTAGTTACAGATATAACGTTGTAGCATGGACTACTAAATTACAGGTGCATCGAGTAGTCTATGGTTGTATGTATTGCAAGAAACACCAATCAACAAAACTACAAAATAGTGTACAGCAGACGGGCTGTAAAGCCAATCCAGTAGCATAAAAACACGTCTTCAGTTCAATAATTAGATATAAAGAAACACTGATCAGCAAAACTCTAAGGTAGAATGTAGTAAACCGGCTGGAAAGACAATTATTATTATGTTGTACACATTCGAAGAAACACCGATTAGCAAGACTACATAGTAGTGTACAATAGTCTGGCTACATAGCGCATCGCTTCAATAACAAGACGATATCCTTGTTCAGCAGTTGTATGTCTGTCGTGTATTGACATTGTGCTTATATAAAATATTAGCCTAGACCACAATAACATCCAAAGATATAGTCCAAATATAGATTGGGATAACGTAGGATCAATATTTCTCCGTCTGCAATCTGATCCCCTTCAAACCGATATCGTTCGAGTGCTGCACAACTGTATTTTATTCTTCTTTTGCTTATGGCGGGCAGTCAAGCTAAGAGAGACAAATATTGATTAGTAGTGTATGCTGATTGCAATTCTAATCATAGTCATGTAATCGTCATACTTTTGCTAGTAGTACAGGACCGCATTATACGCCAGGACTTGCAGTTGCAGCAGCGTACTTGGTCCCAGTCAAATTGCGACCATTCGAATGTATGGTAGTACAGTATAGTCGAGTGCAAGATGGTTTGCATGGGCATAACAGTACTTTCATCTCTCATTGTGGGCAATCTAGCCATTTTATGATAATGTCGAGTAATACTCATCAGTGATGAGTGATCACCAATCTGATGACTGCAAGCGATGCCAGCAGTAAATAATGATATACTGTCGGTTTGAAATTTTAAAATACATTGCGTAATAGCCGCCTAATTCATCTATTTGGATACTACAGGTCGGTAAAAGCTATAATATCGAACAAACTACCTTAGCAACCTACTTGAACAATGTTGAGATGCAATCACCCAAGGCGAAAGGTTCTTATTTAGCCGTTCAAAATATCAAGCAAACTTTTCCTCAGTTAGAGGTGAGATAGATCTGCTGTAGAATGACGGTACTTCCTTTCATATTGTCTACTTGACGCTTGAATAGCCTGTATTGATTTTGATGAAACTACTATATCTACACGTGATGTTAATCTTTGAATCAATGACCTGCAAATAAATGTGCTAGTCTTGCTCTATATCATGCATCTATACAGTAAAACGTTTGTTGAATACAATTTCTGTAATTAGGATACGGCATCAGCCAATCCTATTCATAAACTAATCGTCTTTCAGCTTTTACTGAATGAGAACCATGCAACTTTCTTTTGCAGGATGATGTTATTATTCCTAAATACGTTGGCAAAATGCACGGTGGGCCTTTTATGTGGATTGCTTATCAAGGCCACTATGGTAAGTACAGTACAGTGGTATAGAAATGTAATGTCAAATGATGTCGTAATACTCATACGATCGTGATTGTCTTATGCTATATATTAATCCACTAGTTAACATAACAATTTTTAGCGATGTTATCAATATAAATGAATGTGTCGTCGTATCGGCAAAAGAAGTTGGAACCTATACAAACAACCATACCTTATACTATATTTTAAGATATATTTTTTACACTGCAGCATGCTAACATGCGTAAACTTATTGATTTAACGACGTCGATTCGTCATATGCAATGGAGTCGAAATAGCTTCCATTGTTATGTGTAGCATCAAGGTTAGGTCAATCTTGTATCGTAGTTATACATCCATTGAAAATAATATGTTCATGGAGCGTTATAAAGTTAACATTTAATCTCTAGCAGCCAAAGCCTATAGTTAAACCGCAGTAACTCATAACTTTGTTTAAAATGGTAGTCGCTCAAGAATACACATTATACGTATTCCTAAATTTTAGAAATCTGATCCGTACTTTGATTGTCATAGAGTTTTGCCATTTAGATCCTGATGACAATTTCCTTGCTATGATCAGAGGACGTAAACGTGTTCGACTATACGGCTGTCAGACCCAGCCTTTGTATCCTAATCCACTTGGATCCAAAGGACGTACTATACAGTCACAAGTAGATTGCGATAACCCTGACTATCAAAAATTTCCCCTGTTCCACAACTCACAGTGTCAAGAATATGTTTTGGAATCTGGTGAAATGTATGCTTACTAAATTATGATGATTGCGAATATGAGTAATTCTTACTGCCTCAGTAATAAATTCCATAACGCAATTGCCTTGCAAACGTTCATTTCATTACATTATTACTGTGCTAAATGTTTAACCATTTCTTTTATATTCGCCATTACATATGGTATTAGGCTTTTTATACCTGCATTTTGCTGGCATCAAGTGACCTCGTTGGATACTTCCATCTCTATTAACATGTTCTTTGGAGATCATGGGGATTGCAATTATTTATCAAAGATTATGGTAATAAGTACAATTCTTTACGAGGATGATTCTGTAGATTCTGCTATAGCTTGCTACGTTACTCGACGCCCACATCCATCACTCAAATTAGCCAAACAGTATATAGTTATGTACATAGCCTTGACACCAGCAATACTTTTGTTCCTCATGAATTAAATATTAATTCATTATAGAAAGAACCATACTGGGACGCATTTTCATACTGGTTTTTAAATATTATTGAACAAAATCGACCTTTAGAATCATTCCGCCGTATATTAGCAAACCTACCGCAATCGATTGACAATTTTTTCCTAAAGCAGTATCATGAAATAAACATTACTTCGGAAATACGTGAAAAATTAATCCGACTGGTCCTTGATTACTGTCAATTAAAAGAACTTCCACAGGCGGAGGAGTATGACTTCACCTGTTGCATATTAAACGATTGCTTAATTGTATGCCAAAACTTCGCAGCCTTTGTACATAATACTGCTCCTGTTCTTTTTTTTGTTTAGGAGAAATGGTAAACATCCACCGGCATTAAAAATTAGAGGTTTACTATGGAGAAAGTAAAATTTTAGCCTGGTACAATTGTAAATTGTCGTATTTCGGAAATTATAGTACATATATCAAAGATAGACGTGCTTATAGCGAAGACTTACAAGAAACGTGGTTTCTGACTTCAAAAATGTGCATTTTTTAATTGTAGCTCTAGTCAGAGAGTAGAAGCTGTTGTATTAATCTCGAATGTAATATTAAGATACAACGATAATATCAAATTTTTATTATTAATTGGAATACTTTAAATAAATCAGTAAGTACGAACATCAATGCATGTATAGTGGCTAATCATACATCACAAAAATGTGTGTTTTTAATTTATTATTGCTATAGTCAGAAAGCAGTTAAAAGCTCTTGTATGAACCATACAGTAAATATGATACAAAGATACTACGATTATATCAATTTTTATTATACTGTAATTCAGGATAATTGAAATAAATAAATCGGTAATTAATAAAATCAAATCCAGGTATAGTAGTTAATCATATACGATCTTCCTATTTTGCAAGATATTATTAGTATACGCAGTAATAAGGTATGATACGATTTCAATCGACGAGCATCACAGTAAATGATATGCATTATTACTTTATTTTTACTTTAATTTGTGTTCGTTTATAAAGTATAAAGATGTGATACTTATTTGCTCACAGTAAATAAATACTCGTATATATAATGTTATATCGTGCTTATGCTACTCTCTCGCTAATATTTGATCCATGAAAGATAAACGTGCACTCTTGCACATCATCAGTCTACAAGCAAAACGAAAATAATTGGCAGTCTTTCATTTTTTAATAATTGATTTTGTTCGATTATACGACTGTATATACAGTAAATGTTTATATGTATAGTATAAGATGATACACTTGTTACAGCATGAACACTTATACCGTGCTTGTGCTATTCTCTCGCTAATGTTTGATTTCATGAAGATGATTTACATACAGTCTTTCCATTTTATGCAGCCCTGTTCAAATAACATTTCTTGATAATACGAGTAAGTTCTGGATTGGTACCTACGATAAACTACAGCTGCAATTTGATCTGCAAATGGATTGGATAGTTATACAGTACTTATAGAAGTAAAACAATCTATAGTCAAAAGCAAGTGAAGTGCAACAGGCACAAATCGACCTCAGTGGTAATGATTTATTATTAAAAATAGACATCGATTTGTTTTCAAAAGAGAAAATGTCATTAGTACTTATAATCGTATGCAATAATTGTAATCTACTCGGTTATTTATACAGAACAGTTTCATCAAATAAAGCAAAATTTATCATCGAGTCAATTTGGGCTAACAGTTTTGTAAATATTAAAGAAACTGTCAAATGCCATTTCCAGTTAAGCAATGATTTACATATAACCTTACTGCACTTTCAAAATATTGATTTAATGCCAAATATTTTCAAATATTGTATTAACATAAAACGATACGAATATATGGAAGAATGTAGTACTTTATAGAGCGTTTTATTAAGAATTCTGCATTTTTGTAAATATTACATGTATCAATCAATATTTAGGACTGCATTGATTTTTGAACTGTTATAATGTATTTCTGTAATGATAAATGTAAACTATTTATCTGCAATAAATCCAGTGAAATTAAATTTAGGCGTATCGATCAGATCGCGTTATTGTCAGTTGTTGAGTCTCCGGTATCCAGTTCCGTTATTAATGGCAATTTTCCGTCAGATGCACCAGGCATAATGATGCTATTTTCTGTATTATTGTCTTGCTCCTCCCTAAATTTAATGACAGTTTCCTTGGCTTCGATCAAATTACAGTTCTCTCCATTTTGTATAATACAAATCGAATCTTGTAATATATCATTGCAAGACTCCTCAGCTTCCGATTCACTATCGCTTTGCAATTTTCGCTTTTTGGACTCTCTACCTTTGTCTTCCGAGCTATCAGATTCATCTTCATCGTCTTCTGTCGTGGATGAATCGGTATCCGAGCTATCCGATGTACTAGAGTCATTGTCTGAGCTGTCAAAATTCACTAATTTGGGAGTCTTTGAATCCGTATTTTCTCTACAAACACCATCATCCTTTGATGTATCATCGTCTGAACTATCGCTTGATTCCGAAGTGCTCTCTGTGCTATCACTTGCTTCTTCATCTTCTAGAAGTGTAAAAATTAGGTACTAGTAAGATATTCAGGTCTACAATACGATACCAAAGTCGAAATGCATCGTATATTTTGCAGTAATTAACAATGCCAGATCCAAACCTGAACTTTGATCGGCGTTTTTCTTGTCTAAAAAATCACATAATGCATTATGCAGGACCACAACCAGAGTAGGAAATTCAACGATAGTTTTTCCAATTAAATTATCTCGTAAACTTTTATCTTTGTCTAATATAAAATAGCTGCAATCATTGCAAATGGTGTTATACGAGTATGTTACTGTCTCAGATACAGAGACGGAGATTGCTTTATCAATGGAAAGAATTCTACTACATGATCGGTAGAGTAATAAAATGTCCATACCTTGATACATGTGTTTCCTTACAATCATTCTTTAATAAAACGTAAATATCTTGGTGGCTGACTTTACAGTAGCGTTTGAGTCTTTAAACATCAAAGGCACAATTTGCAAAATAAATAGAAGCAAAAGAGGTGCAAACAATAAATTATTTAATACACCTATTGATTGCAATACCTGTGTAAAAGCATGGGATCTCCTTCCGAGGGATGAATGAACCTATTCAATAAGGATGACACCAGAAGGGTATCCTTAACCCTAAAAAATGCAAGAGACGTAAGTATATTTTTAGTTGCAAAGAGTGTTCAGATTACTTCATGACTTAAAACACTGTCATTCACTGTGAGGCTTACCTATCATCGACAAAATCTACTTGCTCTTGTGGAAAGATCCATTTTATACGCCAAAGAATGCATTTATCCCTATAAAGAATAGCAGACATATTGCTTTAATGGTAAGTTCGCTCTATCTATGTAATGTAGTCAATGTACTATTTGCAGTTATATTATCTATACTTTGCAAAAGTAAATATATTTGGGTAGTGCTACCTAATGTGCCAATATGTTGTATTTTCCGATCGCTTCGTAAATTTTTCCGGCATAATCTTTACATTTATACCTAAATTGCGTGATTCATTCCTAAAGATATTAAGCTGCATCCAAGACAATCAAATTAGCTAGGGAATACGATGCAATTTTGTACAATTACAAGTAGCACATTTTATGCATGCGAGACAGCAGTAATACGTTACGGAGATTGTAATTGCTTAGGTCGTAAGCGATTTTTATTAGCGACAGTGATTCAATATCCTAATACTTTCATCCTATTTCTAGCAATGTATGTAATGAACATACACGTAATTTATACGACCACAGGAGTAATAGAATATTAACTAAACATTTAAACAACCTCCTCCTAGGTAAAAATACCAACTCATATAGGATGCATTAGCATATCTAATTTAAATTGAATTTTACTATTGTTAAAATCAATAAAATAGTCTACTGTAATTGATAATTGTTCATACCATCTTGCGTCTACTTCTTTTGGGGCCTTGAATAATTGAATCTCTTTTGCTGTTATCTGCTACTCTAGCAACGTCTTCCAGAAAATGATAATCTTTATAAAAACAAAACAGCGCTTTCAGAATCGCTACTGACATAATAATTTACAGACCTTACAAATGGCACATCGGCAGGCAACAAGTACTTATTAAAATTGTACAGTACAAGTATCATATAATATAATCTAATGCCATGGTATTAATCGCAAAACATCAAGATGTAGTAGTTACCGTTCAATAAATGTCGATCCGCAAATTCGCCTAGAGGTACGTAAGCCACTCTATTTCGTTGTCCGCTACAGGAATGATTAGTCTTGTGCTGTTTAACGCAGCTTACACTAATAAAAGTGCAAGAAATGGTGCTGTTATTAAACTGAAACACATACTAATTTCTCATCGAAGAGGTCATATACAATACCTAGTACTTCAATTTTAGACAGGACTTACCAGCAAGATTTTCTTAAGCATGATGGGCATGTATATTTCGCTTCGTTCTTCTTGCAGGTGGAGCACTGATTTCTAAAAATATAAATAAGATTTATTTAGGTAACCCTGCAACTTACATTTCTTGTTCTTCACGTATTCTCATATTATTAACAGAATATATATTTTGGTACTTTATTCTGTCCATCTTAAAATAAGTAAGAGTTAATTTAAAGATTAATTTAACACATAAGCTCTACTTTAAATCAATCTTAGCCTCCATGCAAACCAATCCATTTCTTCTGCTAATGAATACCCTAAGTAAGCTATAATCTAATCATTTTGTTGACTATATCTATATACTAGCTGTAACAGAATTTTGGCCTATAAGTACTATCGTACGCATATTGTGACACTGATGATTGATTGTTTCATCAGCGCAATGGCAAACGACTAATAAATTTATTTTTCACTTTCATTGAATTTTCAACTATTGCAGTATTAGAGGATTTCAATCAGCTAATAGATGAATTTGGCAATTTCTTCCAGTGAATTAATATCATCCATCTTCATCCATTTTGGGGTGGACATCACTACTAACGAATAGATACTAGTAGCCTTTCATACATATTGCAGTAGCGAGAGCCTGTTTCGTGTTAAACAATCATACGAGTACAAGACGTAGAGTATTAATCATCAATCTTTCGATCGTCATTATTGAATGGATTAATATCATCAACTAACAAGTACACTTTGCAAAAGTATTCCAGTACAGTAGCATCTATTCAGGCATCATTGCTACGGTGAGTTATCGCTTGGCGCTAAGACCATCGTACAATATGCATTATCGATTTTTTGATCATCAATACCAACAAGGACTGCATTAAAGCACTACCATACCAACCATAACAACTCAACTAAAATACAGTAGCTCAATATCTTGAATAATTTCGTATGCAAATTGCAAAGAATTCACAATATACATTCATGCATGGTAGTGAAGTCTTGCTCCATATTTCAGTCAAGGTACAACAACACACGTTGGCAAATTTTCCATCATCATTACAGTAAAGCAAGGAACCAAAACTTAACTACCTTATAAAATTGGACTAATATCGTAATGTACAAATCTGCAATTTGCAAAGAAATGATATCCAAAACGATTGACCAACCTGAAGAGTTTACCTTCAAGTACAGTCATCCATTTCACTACAAGTATCAATCATACGGTAGTAATATAATTCTTAGTCTCTATTCTACAGTGTATATCCACTCTACAGTATAATTATATCAGTTAAAGCTCGTTCCATCCATTTCGATTTACCTCAGGTCAGTTTGGCTGAGCAACTTTGCAATTGCACCATTCGATTTATTCATATCAGCAGTCTCCATGGTGAATTCTTCTTATTAAGCGTAAGCATGGAAATTGGAGATGCTGCCCAACAGTCACTTGCCAATTTCCTGGTCTTAGTATCGGCAATGCTAAGTTAAAGCTGGATTGCAATTATCCGTTGGAGAACTCCAAGTAAAGAAGCTAAATAAGACAGCGATCATTGATTTCCTCCAGCTGCAGCCATTCTGCAGAGATCCGAGGTAAGATTGAGATGTTGATCAATTTATTATAGTATAGGACAGCCAGTTTTTACAGGTACAGACTGGGTGTAAACGAATGGTTTGCGATAGTATACTCTCTTTTAACTGCGCTAAGCCGAACACGTGGATTGTATAGTTTAGACTATACACTGTATAAAACAAGAGATTTCAGTATAGGGAATATACTACCTGCTGCTAGGCGAATTATCGACAGTAATGTCTGTCTGTAATTGAAAAAAAGCCAATGTCGGTACGCCCGTATGTCCGTACATCTAGATGTCTTTAGTGCCTTAGCAAAGGGCTTCGTCCTCGAGCTCATCGCAGAATAAGCTAGAAGCATAGTCTCGCTCCAGTTATCTGAGAGTTAGAACCATTTGTACGCTATGATTCTAACATGGACAAGCTACTGGTTTTATAGTTTAGTGCACAGAGCTATAGAGAAAAGAAATACTTGCTCAAATACCCAGGAATCGAATATAATTTAGCTCGCAAACGTCTTTGCAACTATAGTATCAAACAATTATAAAATTATACGACTAGGTCAGCCAAGCTATGGTAAAAGTCCATTTTGTTCGTATTATAAATACCAGTTAGAATATCACAAATTTAACTAGATAATTTGCGGTTGCCCACAATATTAAAAGGAATATAGCTTTCTACTGTATGCAGCAAAGCAACATTGCATAATGACTATCCGAGTATATACGCATACTCTCTCGTGTACTTGTAACTTAGCTTAAAAGAAAAGAAAGGAGCAGTGTCCTTAAAAACTTGATGATAGAATAATTCATCAACTAGTACTAGTACTAGTACTAGTACATTCAAGATACTGATCTACCTCGATAGCAGATTGGTAACATCGGCTAACCTGATAAACTACGAGTATTATAGTTTTAGTACAAAAAGGCTCTATGACAGAGCTATAAAATACAGAATAGAGAGAGAAAAATTCCTAAATTATGCCCTATGGTTGAGCATAATTAATTTACAACGCAAATATTAGTACAATTAATCACCAAGGGGCTCTTAAGAAGTCCCTGAATCAGCCAAGCCGAAAGTCTATTTTGAATGTATTTATTAAAACGATTCATCGCCAGCTATAATACCATGCATTTGTACAGATAATTTACGGTGGGTTGCAATGCTAAAACAATTAAACCTTTCTACTACAGGTAGTAATGGTGATACTGAGTCATGTTTACCACTAGATTAAATTACATCATTCCAGACACGGATAAGATATAGAATAGGTAAAAGACAGTTTTAACATTGCTACATGAAATTTATGGAGATGAATCATAAAGTTAATGATATAAAATTGGTCGACTTTTATCAATTTACATATGGAGGGCTTATGAAATGAATCAAACAAGAAAATGATAATTGGTAATAAAACATCCACTCCAAACATAAGGTTAAACATTTCCTGCATTAGCAAATTTGTACAGAAAAGTAATGCCAGACAATATCTACTGTACGTAGTATTTATACACCATGTCGTTTGAGATGGGCAATCTTAGTATGTAGAGAACTAGAACAGAATCATGGAAATAGTTGCAGTCTCATTTTTCTGAAACAATCAATTCATTGCAACTCCAGTCTTCATAGCTCCCATCCGGTAAGAAACGACGTACAATCATTGGGATTTTATTAGCTCTATTGATGAAAATTTTAAATTTGGGAAGAGTTAAATGAAAACTCTAACAAGACAATCTGAATAAGCTGGATAGTGAAATTGCTTCCTATAGATACTCACTTTAACTCTTTTAATGCAATTTGTAACGGATCTGTTTCCCCTTCTAATTCAACCATAACAGGAGCGTTCATACTATAATGAATTGATATCATAACAAGTCCGTAAACATTTTACGAGAGGACTATCGTCAATTTCAAAAGTCATTTTCAATTAAATCAACCTGATTTGTAGAGCTCTCGTTCCCAAGATTCTTGCTCTTTCATATTTCGTCATGTAAGGTTGTGTTGTCCTTTTACTTGGATCCTGCCGTTGATCTATTTCCAGTATAAGTAATAGAAATCAAGCTTTGCTATCTTGCATACCTTGATACATTTGTTTAAATCATGAATTATCAACGCTAACCTCTATTGACTAAGTAAAAAGTATTTGATCGCCATGGCGTACAAATACTATTTAACATACTTAAAGTATGCAACTCTATGATTTTTTACGATGGGCTAATCATAACAAGCTAAGTTTCCAGGATATAGTTTCATATTCGATTCGATATTCGTATATTATGATGAATTTATTTAACTATCATCAACACTACTCTATCGATTGAATGAAAAGTACTTGATCTATATAGCATATTTATGGTGTCAACTATTGCATGCTTAAAAGTATTTAACTGCATGATTATTTATGATTTGCTAATCGTGATAAACAGAAGTTCTAGAATACATCATTAATATTTCATTCATACACACTATGATGAAATCATTTAAACTATCATCAACACTATATTCCTACATATCATAATGCACGAATTTAATCTATCATTAGCGTTATCCTCTAATTAAATAAATAAAGTACTTGATCGATCTTGCGTATAACTACCACTTGCCTCCCTAAGCTGGCAACTGCGAAGAGTATTTGTGACGCATTACTCGTAAAGTACTTATGTGCTGTATTTCCACTACGAACTTAAACGATTATCATCATCATGGTATCGATTAAATATCCAAAGCAATAATCCTTAGTTCAGACGTATTATGATGATATACCGTAGACTAAATTCGATATCGATTATGAGAGTTATGTAAGGAAAATTAGATTAAAACAGTAACCCAGTTTAACTTGCTATGCAAAACAGAACAAGCTTTGCCAATCTCTCATCTTGTCATATCTAACCTGCTTGGGCAGCCTGCACGGCCGCAAATTCATCACCATCTAAAGCATTTTGCTATAAGATAAAAGATAAATGATGGCATCATTCCATTCGGTTCAAACTAGTACCTCAAGGTGATAACATAATCACATAACAGGGATATAAAAAGATTTGAAAGATGATTTTATCAATCATGATCAAACCATCCATGGATTTCGATTGTAAGACACTTACATCTTGATAATTATCGATAGGTTCTTCATCAAGATCATCAACATCGTCATCAAATCTACAAAAGGCAGATACTATTAGTTCTACCGTCCAATATATCCATCAAAGCTCAATTCTACTACAAAATCAATTCATTCTATCGCCAATTTACCCGTCGTAATCGCCATCATCCGCCATGCTGAATTTGGATTTTGAAAAGGAACAAGTGGCTTATGCGCATGACGACTTACATTGTCTTTCAGTCTGACTTTCCGTACATTCTTCACCTACTGTATGTCGTGCTATTGGAGTTCCTATAGCAAAACTATATTCTAAAGTCATGTTCGATACAGTATACTATAAGCATCACTGAAATTCAAACAAAGCGTGACAAAGTGACGTCAACTGTCCTACAGTACTAATCTGCGATTGGATGACATTACTTTTATTTTAATAGTACAGTACATCATGCATACTATATTGAATAGCATTGGTGTATTTCTATGCAACAATGGATCATAATTTGGGTACAAGTCTATTTTACTATCAACTTTAGCAACATATATAATGTCACCCATGTTACAGTATCAAGCATACCGGGTGACATTAGTTTTGATCTGCTGTCTTGATATAGCTATACAATACACTAAGATATTAGCTGCCATAACTATAGTACATTGTCTCAATCCTACAGTAAAAGTACTCTAGTACTAGTCGCGATGTTGCTAGGCAACTCTACTTGCATACTTTCCATATGGAGGGATAGCTCAGAGCTGGCATCTGCATTCACATTAGTCATCAGCTCTAAAATTAATTAGCATGCAATTGTAATAGTCAGCTATTAAATGCTACCTTTCAAGCAGTCATAAAGACATTAAATATTGATTGCCTTTTCATATCAAATTGTATTTCAATGTTTAATTAATGTGATTATCAAGGATATAAATAAGGAGTAGAAATGCGCGTAAAATCGGAAAGATTGTTCGCTATTTCAGTTGATTTCGATCCATAAGCGATGGGAATTAGCCTTGGTTGTCAAAGTTCCAATCAACCTGTTCAACGTGATACTTTTAATATACCAGTCATTCGGATCGATCGACCTTCGAAAGAGGCACAAGCCGAAACAGAATCGGTGAAGAGTAGCATCGATGATAGTATCAATGACCTTTCAAATGGGAATAAGCAAAGTCAATATGCTAGAACAAAGTCATCATTGGATGACAACAAGGATGAAACGGTAATGCAAAACGACGATGAGAATGGCAACATTGTAGCAAATAGTCGCCAATTAACGAATACTACCTCTAACGAAGAGGACATTACTCCAATGGAGAATTGTTATAACGATAAGCTAAATTTTTCGAATGATATCAATGATGTCGACAAATCGATAATGGATAACGCTGTCAAAGCAGTACAAGATGGTAGTAATGAATGTAACGTTACTAAGGACAAACATCAGAACGGATCCATGATAAATAAGACTATGAATTTGAAAGAAAATCATTCAAATCTTGATGAGATTAGTAATAGCTGTAGTAATGTTTTGCATCAAGCAGAGGATCCTGTTGAAAAACCTCTAGATGAAGTACAAAATAAAATTATCAATGATATTGCCTCAAGTAAAGTCGATTTTAACCGCCATAATCTTCAGACAGGAAGCACTGCTAGCAATGGTGTCGGAGATACTTTACTTGCGGCTACTGCTAATCAAGAAATTGTAAGTAAAGATGACCAAGGAAATCATAATAGTGATAGAAGCGATAGCAATCATGTTCAAGATAACATTATCCATTCTTCATCTTCTGCCGTGGATGAAATGATAATCAATAGCCAATGTAAAGAGATCGGAAGCGAAAACAGACCTATAGATAAATTACAAAATAATATCAACAATTTAACTAGTGAAGAAGAAAATCGTCATAATATTAACCAAACCATGACGTCGTCGCTAGTAGTAGATGCTACGCCTAAAAATAGTAAAGAAATAGACTTTTCTACCCAATCCGATCCTCAAAATTTGCAAGATGTTGTAGATCGTTGTTGGAAGGAAATCAATCAAAGTCGAAATTCTTCAGATAACCCTCAAAATTCGAATATCAAGAATAGAACAGGATGGCAGTGCATTCGAATATTTGTCTCATCGACGTTTTCAGATTATCATTCGGAACGTGAAGTGCTTGTTAAAAAGGTAAATATATAAGAGTAACTATTCATACATCATTGATTGTCTTTGATATTTGTACACTCGTAGAGCTTTATAATTTGAAACAATGTTTCAAATTCAGATTAATATATCATTGATTACCTCCAGCAATCTACATTTTTAAAGCGTTACAATTTGAAGCAATGTTTCAATTTCATTTTAATATATCATTGATTGCCTCCGGTAATTTACATTCTTAGAGTGCTACAATTTGAAGAAACGCTTTCAATTTCCATGAATTTTAAATTGCTTTATTGTACTAAAGTTTTGCGGTCAGAGTTTTTATATATATCAAGTCCTTGAGACACAATTGAGATGTCGTAGTGTCTGTAAATGATGGCACCAATTTTTTGATTTGTCTGCGTGCTACAAGGATTAAAATTTCAAATGAACTAAATGACTTGTCTTATAACACACAGGTCTTCCCAGAACTTCGTGAGTGGTGTGAAGAAAAGTGTCTCTATTTGATTGATTGCGATCTTCGTTGGGGGGTACCGAAAGATTCAACTACGGAGGAAGTTTTACTGACCTGCTTAGAGGAAATTGACCGATGTCATGAAGAAACTGATGGGCATCCATTTTTTATTAATATGTTAGGAGACAGGTAAGAGTTTTAGCAACGTATAGCTTGATAGTTATCAATTTTTTGCTTTTGCTAAAGCATTACGAGATTTTTTCAAACTAATTTCAACAGTCTAGAATAACAAACTAACGCATGAACGATTCTCTGTTTTGTTTCATAAGGCTTTTTATTTCTTAATTACTGCTAAGTAACAGATAATAAACTAGTGTTTATGCTGACTTATTAAATAAATAGAATATTATAACTTCCTCATTATAAACACAGACTCATTATTGGCTCATCATTGCTCTAGTTATATGCTGACATTACTTAATTTTAAAAACTTTTAAATTGGAACTGGCAACCTATCATTTGCTTTAAATAATAAATTTGGGTCATTATCCAATTAATTTTATGCTATTTAGGTATGGATGGACGCCGTCATCAGATCAAGTTGCCGATAGTATTGCACAAAAGTATAATTGGATCTTTCCTTTATCTATAACTCATATGGAAATTTTACATGGGGCCTATCGAAATTGTAATCCGAATGCGGCTTTCTTTATTCGAGATTCAAGTATTCTTAACGACATACCAAAAGAATATCATTATCAATTTAGTGATAATAGCTTATTGTCCAAGCTACAGTTACAGGTTTTGTTTCTTTTCTACAAAAGAGTTACAAAAATATTAGATACTACGCTATTTTCATCTTATATGTAATAATTACATCTCGATATACAAAATACAGACATTAAAAGAACACCTGCAACAAACGATGTCTAGTCAAGTATTTCATTATTCGTGCCAATATGACGGGATAATATCGCCACTTGGTGAACAAGAAAAGGTACTTAAGTTGATCTCTATAGCTAAGCTTTTTTTCTTCGCTTAGTAAAATATTTTACGCTGGTTATTTCGAAAACTTCCAGATTAGCCTTATTGGGTTAGACGATTTTGCTGAGAAAGTACTAAAATTTTTCAAGACTGCTATCGAACGGCAATATCCTACTATCAAAACGGAAATATCTCCCTACGAAATAGGTTAGTAAAGTGTTATTTCAAAATTTATAATTCTATTTAATATCAAGCCCTTTCGTTATTCTTGACTGCAATAACTTGAATGAAGATTACGTGCAGCTATTTGTAGATATCCACTCTCCTATGTTTGATAGCTTTTGCTTTCGTACCATATCCGAACATCATTTCCTATTTTAATGTATTTTCGACAGCACTGTTTGAACATTATGCATCAGTGATTTTTTCGATTTATGTCAAATCAGCTAAGCCTAATAAATACAGTAGGCCTGCTACGGTACTATGTTTCCTAAATTATGGAATTAAAGAAAGTGTTGTTTCTCACAGCATTTCAATGTTATATGTTTTGTCGATTATAGTACAGTGTGTCTACTGATTACGAGACTTTTAGAAAAGTAGTTGTTAAGCGTTACAGTAGATATAGTACTAAATCTTTCGATAAATTGGACTAGTAATCTGTAGAAGCAACTCAAAGTAAGTACTTTACGTTGACTAGACTAGTAGACTTGTCAGGAAGTAGTCTGTGACAAGGCCATATATCAAGCGCTAGCTATTGCATAAAAAGCCATACTACTTTATAAAATTTTGCTTTGTATAATATCCGCATAGGCGTTGATTTTAATTGAACACCGACGAAGATTTTCATCATTCATCATAAATTTTACAAATATCATATTTTTATTTTATTATCTTACTGCATATAACTATTCCTCTCGTATTTTGGCACCTTGAATTTTATCCATAACCATACTGTAGTAAATTAACGGGCATAGATTCTCGCCATTCCTTAATCAATTTGCAATGATGATTAATATGAGCAAGAGGTTATGCAATTTTTTTTCAATTTTTTTCTAATTTATGGATCTCATTTTGTTCATTTTAAAGAATTTGCAAGTCATGAAATATTCATGCAAAGCCGTGGCAGGCAGGTTCTCGGTAGAAAAAGTGAGATCCAATCTGTTGTTCATTATGTTACTACTGCAAGCAATCAAGCCTCGGAAGATGATAATAATGATCAGTTAAAGACTTATTCTGATGATACGGTTTCACCGTTAGTTATTACTGGTGCATCTGGTATGGGTAAATCGGCATTAATGTCAGCTTGTGTATTGACTTTGCAAAAGGTAAATGAATTCGTAGGCGTTAAGCTTTACAAAATATTTTTATTAACATGATCGCTTTTTCCATTTGGCTACATTAATTTTTTATTACCTTTACTCAATAGATGAATTTCGACGTCTTTTATCACTTTATTGGAGCTTCTCCTAGCTCAACGAGTGTTCATGAGATGATTTTGAGAGCTTGCTTTTATATGAAGGATCGTTATCGCGGTAAATAAAATATGAATTTCGCATTTCCTATTTCGACTTTCTAATTTTATCATTCATAAAAGACATTAAGCGGTACGGTCCTGGTATTTTGATAGATGATTTCAAAGATTGATAAAATTCTGGATCTAAGTCGATTAATATTAATTCAGATAATTAATTGAATATTTGAAATGTTTTACCGCGAAAATTTCTAACATAGCCTACCTGGAAATGGCAATGTTTTTATTCGATTATGTTATGAAGTTAATCAAGCGCCGTGTACTAATTGTTCTCACATTTTATACTATATCAAATTTTTAGAAAAGTTAAAAGCAAGTGATGAAGATATAGACAGTTTGAGCCGTATTTCAACATCAGAACTATTTCACTATTTTCGTCAATGGACGGAAGATATTGCGACCGCCATCACTTCACCATTTGTGCTTATTTTTGATGCCCTAAATCAGGTAGAATACCAAACCTAGTGAATTTATTTGTATCACTGATATTATTAGCTTGTTAATAGTATACAGTGATCATTCAATTAATATATAGTTAGGAAACTGTGATCTAAGTTGGTTACCCAAGAATTTACATGGAAAAGTAAGAATTTTATTTAGCGCTATCGATGGAAGTGCTGAACTGAGCAAACTGATGGAGCATCCACTGCAACTGCAGCAACTTCAGCTAACGCAATTGGATACTAATGCAAGGAAAGAAATTGTCGTCCACATATTAGCTCAATATCGAAAAGTAATTCAAGATCGATTACCTATTTGATGGACTGATTTATATAGTTATAAAATCAGCAGATATAAATCTTTATTGATATTCCTAATATTTTCTCACAATTTCGATAGTCTCTAGATCAGATTCAGCTTGATTTGTTGACATCATACCCTGCCGCATGCAATCCATTATGGCTTGCATTAGCATGCGAAGAGCTGCGAGTTTTTGGAATATTTGAACAAGTTACCGATAAGATTAAAAGATTTTCAGGTGCTTGAGATTAAGTTTAACTTTTGATAAGTATATTCTTAATCAGTCATTCTTATACTGTATTCTATTGCTGTAACTGGTTTGTTATCCAGTATTAATATTAATTTGTGTATGTGCTAAATATCGTTTGAGAGTATAAAATTTTTCACGATCAGAAATCAGCTAATCTCGAAATATTAATGGATATTTCTACCACAATTGCATTAAGGAGTTAGTTTTTGTTTGCTGCGTACTTGAATATTTACTAATTGACTAATGGGCTTTTATGTGTGTTGAATAATGTTTTACAGAAACCTTAGAAGGTTTACTAAAAGATATTTTGGAACGTATTATTAGTGAAGATAACTATGGCATAGCCAAAAAGGTGAATGGCAATCAAATGTAACAATGCTTCGTTAGTCGATCCATTATTTTAACTAATTATATTGAAATCATCAAACATGAGAGTAATGATATTTATTAGAAGCCAAGATTGTTTGCTTATGTATAAGATATCATGCATATTAGAGATTTATTATATTGTTTCATAATTAATAGGTCATTTTACTAGTTACCCTAAAAGTGTCTAGCGTAATAGCCTATTTCGCTTCTTGGTTAGAAATTACGTACTTTTGTTAAAAGCTCTAAACCTAGGTTGTTTGCTTTCGTACTAGATATTATGTCTAATAGAGACTTCTAGGCATGGACTATATGAAATCGAATTAAAGCAAGTATTAAGTCAATTAGAAACCTTACCTATGCTTGCTTGGGCGCAAGCTTATCGAGCGTTAAAGCCTTTCTTAAGGAATTACCAAAGCAATCAAGGAGTCGCCGTCCTAGATTTTTTTCATCGCTCAATTAGCAAGGTATCGGATATTTAAATATAGCATAATTGAGGTAATATCGTCTTAAACTATTATGAATGAAACTAGGAATGTTTTACTACGTGATAATTCTTACAGAATAAGCAAATTGCAACCATCTCATTACTTATTAAATATTATTTCATCAATCCTAGTTGTAGCACATAATTCAGTGCAATTATGAAAAGCTCTTATTGCACATTAAATAAGAAATATCCAACTTCTAACTAATACGTTATCACATTTTATTATTCGTGAATAGTTATGCAGATGAATGTATACATATACATTAAATTAATCATTATTGCATTGCCAATTCTCCTTTCTTTCAATTTTAGACTGTTCGAAATGACTTCCTACAAAACGATAGAGCAACTGTTAATAGCTATCGGAAAATGTTAATTGAGTACTTTGAAAATAGTTGTTCCGATCTTGAACGTATATGTCTAGAATTGCCTTATCAATTATTTGAAATTGGCGAGAAAAAAAAATTAATTGAGTTTATACGCGGTAAAAGGTCTGTTCATATGCCACAGCATCAAAAGCAATCGTATTTAAGGGTGAGACTTACTCGATAGCTTAAAATATTTGATGATAATTACGTATAGTTTCATATTTAAAATGGTGTAACTGAGAATAATTAGTTAATTGATAAAAATTAATTAAAGACTTTGGTAGTTAAGAGAATTACTTATCTACTGATCCAGCAATTAAATGCACCAGCTTAGCTTGGCTAAGTAGTAATACAATACATAATTTAGTAGCAAAAGGCAAAGATAAATGCTATAGTTTCGCGCTTAATTACCCGAGATGCAAATGCTAGATACATCTCTTATATCGAAATAGAGATTGCCATATTAATGTTAAGATATACTATGATCATGATTAATTTTAATGCCATTTTCCATAATATTAAATATAGAATTGTATAATACAATGTAGAAAATGTAAATTATTATCGTCAATAGTTTGAGGATGGCACTTTCTACTGGATAATGTCTTTTCACTTTTATTTTCTTAGCGACTCCGATGTCAAAATTTTTGCTTCAAGAAAGAAAAGCAAGCAGTAATTTGTCATATGTGCCAGTATAAAACCAATGGCCTTGGTCAAGGTCCATTTTTAAATCGTGATGCTTGTATAATCTGCGGTGGATTTGTATCATCTCAAAAATCACCAGTTTACTATTGCATGAGACATAATCCCCATCCGTTACCTCATTGGAATAAATGTGCTATTTGCTCAAAGCAAGTTCAAACAAATACGCCTGGTATGAAACCAGTCGATGCTAAAGTTTGTATGATGTGCTATGGAAATGGTTCAATGTGTGCAACCATAGGCTAACAAAGTTAGAGATTGTCCGCCAGACAATGGCTTAACACTGCTATAGTTTAAATTTAGCTGTGCATGTATATAGATATACTTATATATATATATATGGTATGCCTAGAGCAGGTACTATCGTAAATTCATAAGTACGCTATTTAAAATATGTTAACGATAAATAATAATTATACTATCTTATAAAAAGCTAGAAATTTCATAGCTTACTGTCATAGAATTGATAATAGCAAACATACACAACTAAAATTTTTCTTGTTAATCAGCTGCGTATAAAATTTTTATGGATATGAAATAATCAATTCTTAGTAGGCATAAGTTTGTAAATAGCTCACCTGCTCGAAGTACTTCGTGATTACTGTTAATAATCAACTTTCTCGCTTTTCTTATTGAATTATTTTATCGAAAAGAGACAGATATGTCCGAAACAATGGAGTGTCAGGGTTAAGTATATTAGCTTAGGCATGATACTGTAGTGAACGTAAACGTTTACTGCTAGGTATCATGATCGATTATTGCCAAGAATTTCTAAATAAGTTATTTAAATAAAACATTATTCGCGTTGTTTGAAGAATCTGTATTAACGGGTTATGTTTGTATAGCTAAGGAAAAGTTAGAGCTTTTTTCATGCTACAGAAAATATCGTCTCAATTTGCGAAATGAAATAAAAACGACTTTACCAAGGTTATTTATCGAAGCAGTTTTACATGCCAAATTTAAATGTTTGATGTTTCTATGCGTAACTGTGGTCAATCACTATTGCTAGAATAATACAACGGCACCTATGCACATTGTGTGCAGTAATATGGATAAACTACAATGTAGCAATTGTATTCGAAGCTAATTCGTATAGTTAGCCGAAATGCAGACAGCGCAACATATGCCAAAAATTTAGGACATTTTTTCTTATTCAACTCGTATACTCGTATACGAAGACGTATAATTTAACAAAAATAAGAATGTGAGCAGCTAGTAGAAATTTTTGCAAATTTATTAATCATCGTTTAATTTTTGATACACTAGTAACTAAAATGCAAATTTTAGGAACCAGTAAAATCTGAAAATAATATTTATATTCAACATAGCTAATATAAGGAAAGTAAGCGAAAATATTCGATTTCTCGAGAAATGATAAACCGATTCGAATCAGGAGTAACATGATCATAAGACCGGAACATATTACCCCAGTTTTTATAATACTTACACATACATACAAGTAAATTTCACAATTAACGTATGCAACTTTTACATTTAAATCGAAACAAGATAATGAAAAAATTGTAGCAGATATAGAATGAAAGGTTAAACTTCTCCGATACAATTTTTAAATCTATATAACAGAAATACTTTGTCATGACTGATTAGACGTAGCATCCACAACCGAAATAGTATAGCAAAGAGGATCTGCTACACTGGATGGCAAAACACGGATTTGGCAAGCTCTGCTACAATTACACACTTCTCCGGGCTTAAAAGATCTTACTATGGTATTATTAGCTAACTCCGGAATATTACTTGAAGCTTGACGTTGTAAATGCTGCTTTTGTCTTTCTACATAATTTAAACCACTATAACTGATAGAACTTTTCAACTTTGAAGAAGCTTCCGGTTCAATGCTTTCTCTTGATGAAACTGAATCGACTAAGACTGTTCTGTGATCAGATAATGGATAAAATTCGAATTCTTCACTAGAACTCAGATTGATCTCATTCAAAGAGTTGTGTGCTGTAAGTTTATTTCTAGGATTACTGCTTTCGGCTATACGTGCATCATTATTCTCTGAACCGCTAGCTTCTATCATTTCTTGAATTGACAAAAAGGATGAGTTTGGAGTTAAGCTGGAAGATAATTTTGGATCCGGCTGTACTGCATTGACGGTTTCAGTTGTAGTTAGGCCTTGATTGCTAACAGATTTTTCTAACGATTCTGAATGAGTGCTTTTCTGACGTAAATACTGTATATAGTTTGGATTATATTTGCACAATTTAACAAATGGCATCGGAAGATTACCACTAACTAAGGGAACAACCATTACAGATACAGAAACAGTGGCACCAGGAACTTGTGGTATCGTGACTATTCCACAATTTCGCCCGCACACTATCCAAGATGAAGTATTTACTTGGATTGAATATAACAGGTGATAATGATCTATTGGGGATTCAGAATTTATCGTACTATTATCATTAGCATGTTTCTTTCTCGTATCTTTGATTTCAATCTGTAAATTGCACGGCAAACCAACAACAATGGAATCACAATTTGTATCCGGATGGATAAAACTGTTAATGGTATATAACATCTACCACCAAAATAAATCGGATATTAGAACAATAGACATTCATACAATAATAATACAAGATTCTTTCTATTACCTGCACGTTGGCTAAACTTAACCTATATATAAATTGAAATGGTTCGACGTTCCTATTAGCTTCACTCTGTATGAAAATTGCATAATAATTAGTAGAGCCCTATGTAATATCAATTCTAACGTGAAGTAGGATGGTCACCTTTTCATCTACCATACTATAGTCAACAAGTAGCGTACATATCTGCTGCAGTTTCTCATTCGATAGCTCTAATGACTCTGTGTCTTTTAAGAGAAACAATAGAGTTTGCCAACATTAAATTTATTGTGCGTTAACGACTTAAAATTAAACAGAACAGGAATATATTCTTAGATACTATATTACCATTATTGTTATACGTAACTTGCCAAAGCAGCGAAAGGGTTTGATTTGGATGCAATTTCTATACATCATAAACAATATAAAGGTTAAAAACCCTACAAGACAAAGAATCGAATTTGCTCTGACTTTCCAGTTACTCACAATATTGCCTGATTTCTTAACCGGAATTAAGTTGATTAATGTTGCATTATCGCCTCCGCTCGCTATTGAATTTGCTTTTAAACTAGCTTCTTCTATATTTATAATTGTCGGCAATACTGCTTGTAATATGATATGAACAAAATTTCTAAATAGATGGGAAGGCAAAGAGACCGTTAAAGCATAGACTGTAATGACGGTAAACCTGAAATAGAATGGGGAATATCTATACAAACCTGATGCCTGTCAGTTGCAGCTTTTGTTTCAAAATGAACGGTTCATAAAATATTAAGGTAATGATACAACTATACGTTGGTGGTAACCAAAGGCAACGAAGGAACAACTACAAATATTTGGAACAGTATAAAAAAATTTAACTTGGTTCATTTTAGATTATGCAAGTCAAGACCTACTACCTGGTGTGAGTACTTTACCAGCGGATCATTATCAGCTGGTTTTCGATCAGTTTGAGTTCGACAAGATACTATAGACAAAGCTTGATGAGCTAAAAACTCCAAATCGAAGCTAATTTCTGCATAACTTTCGCAAGCAGGCAACGTTACTAATATTTCAAAGCTATCTTGCATTTCTTTGCTATTGATATCTAAATCTACGACCACGCTCTCATCTGTAATTGTAAATACAGGAATAATTTCGTATGCATAACTATTAGCCTTCAAACATTTTAGAAATGATGTATTCATAATTTACAAATGGTCGCATCAATTGTTACTGAACACTACACTAATTACCAATTGGTTGATCGTGAAGACGTTTCTTAGCACTATATGAAGGCTTCGGAATGAATTTTAAACCTGTGCTAGAACATAATTTCAGTTGTGAACCAGACGAAATTGCAGTAGAACCATTAATTAATTTCACGTTAGCGTTTTGCTTTGCACCGGCAATGAATAGTTCTACGAAAAATAAAATATAAATATTTCTAAATATTCATATACTAGTAATTCACTTTTCATTCAGGTATTTATACATAAGCATGATTTTAACCTGATAATTGGCCGTGGCTGGATATATCGATCCTCGGAGGTATAAAGATAACGTTAAAACTGAATTTATCATCTTCAACTCGTGGATGGACTAAGGTCATCTTTTTATTTATATTGAGACTAAAGGAACGAACTTGATATTCCCCATCTTTACCGATCTAAAGAGCAATGAACGCATTTGGAATTATATCTCGGTATCGGCTTACTTATGGGAATACTGTCTCGTGATAGGTTCAGAAATGAGCCGTGCATAGAAGCAATGAAAGACGTATACAAAAAACATTCAACACAATATATACCTCTCCAGTTACAATAACTGAGTTGAGTCCTGGTCTTAAAATTGCCTGGTCGCATACCAGATGCTTAAAGTCACTATCATACGGCTTAATAATGCTGTTACTGTTGTGCTCCGTATCTAGCATTTGAATTATTTGTCTAGTTTTCTTTGCATCTTGGTCGCTTGCGGTGGTATCCAAACTAGACGATTCCGAGTTGTTAAGGTTTTCGTCGCTAACTCGCAGAAAATTAAACATATCAACCGAAAAATCTGATCCTGATGAATGAAGCGAAACTTTATAGTGTAGCGCTGATAAACTACTGGTAGGAACAGATCGATGTAACTCTTCAGAATCATTGTTTTGTCGTTTTATAGCTAGACTAAGGGCATTGCATTTAATTTCCTATTTCAAACATATCGAATATTGCAATTAAAAGTAAGAACAACGATATATCCACGAATAACATAGTCCTACACTATTACCTTGGAAGAATGATTAAAAACGTCAACACATACACGGATACTACCGAGTGATATTTTATCAGCGTGATCACTCATTAGTTTAATAGTTTTTACTTCCAATAAAGGCATCATCGGGAAGCACATTTCTTCATCTATAAGTAAATATATCGATTAATCGCTAAACGAATACAAAGGTAATGTAGTGTATTAACTTTATATTATTCAAGATAGTCACTAACCAATACCGTCTATGGAATGTTCCAAATGCGAAGAATATTCCAGTCGCTTTTGCTCACTAACATTACAATTCGAACTCAATATGATGCATGACAAAATAAATGTACATGGAAGTTAAGGCATGAATAACGCATCAAAAATTTTCATAATAAAGCTTTAACTAAAGATAATCTTTACAATCAATGAGCTAAACGCGAATCTATCACAAAAATCTGACTAAATTTTCACTGAAAGAAAGTTATTTCGTCAAGCAATAGTTTTACTACGTTATACACTTGGTAAAGATATTGTTTTTCTTCCTGCAAGTACTTTTCACATTCAGCCAGGATCAATAAAACATCCTCTGCAAGCTTTTTCCAACCCTCTATAACGTAAGTATCAAATGCTTCACGTAGTAAGACTTCAGCGCGGTCATACATTTCGCATTGTCTATGAAATATCGTAAGCAAACATTAATACTGTTATTGCCATAGTTGTGTACGTGCATATAGAATCTAAACGTACATATAGAAATTAGCTAGCTCTTTCCCAATTTGTCTCGCTCTTCGTAGTCTACCGACGTGTTTAAAATTTTCTAACGTTTTACAACATAATTCCTAAAAATATATATATATATAAATACGAAGCCTAATTCTGTAATCATTACGGCATCTTTGAATATTGACAGAATATCACATTCTTACTATATAGTATTTTTGAAATTCCGACTTAGAGTTTAAAGCATTGCGCAATTTGGAGTAGGGACTGTTCGGTTCTGTTATATACGTAAAAAATTTCTATATATTTATCTATAGAGATGCAGCAGACAAACATGAATATCGCAAGCAAACCGTTGCTCTCTACGGTTATTCCAGACAGCAATTCACAAGCACATTGGAGATGCTCCGACTGTTGTGTCATTTTCGGTATTAATCCGCACAGTTCACCTAGTACCAACAGCTGATATCGAATATACAGTTATAGGAATGTCAACTTGCCAAAATCATGCCATTGTGTAGCTCACTAGTATTGTACTTACTTTACTTCGACTACAGGCCCACAAATTGCAGGTATGGACTAAAATGGAGCCATTGATCATAAATTTTGACTCAATTTTATGAAGTAAAGTCATGCTGGACAAAAAGACCCAGCAAGCGTGAGCGCCAGGTGAAAGTGTTGTCTAAAAATATATTTAATTTATCACTATTGAGTGTGGCCACTAAGAATGTAATTATTTAAAGTTTCATTACATAGCTGAAAATTATTACTCAATAGAATAAAAAAATTAACTAGGATATAGTAAGTATTGCATGATTGCAGGCTCTGCTTGCATACCTTAAGTACCTCCAATTCGTAAGAGCAAGTGGACATAAAATTGAGTAAACTTTCTGCAGCTGTTGCTGGCTGATTAAGTCTGATAAGCAAATTACTTTGTCTGGAGAATATATAATTACGAAAGTCTAAAAATGTAACATTTCTTGAAGATATTAACTGAGCCTTGAAATCCTTGTCGTAATGCCATAGTACACCATTCCATGATTTATACTGATTTTCCAAATTATTAAACCATTTTATCGAATCTAAATGGAAGTATGACATTTAATATTAGATATAATTTTACAATTTCGAATTTAAAATATTCAAACAAACGAGTTGTATCTTTATACCTTTATTTATTGCATCACTGATAAATTCACTTAGCAAGGCATCTAATTCGCGGTACTGAATTAAACATTCATCATCCAATCCCATCAATTCATATACAATGGCTAACTCTTCCTAGATAGGATTATAAATTACAAAATGTTTCAATCGTTAAATTACAGCTCCGCTAATGTGCGTTAGTATGTTGGCATACTTGTAATCTAAAGTAGGTACAATAGTTCCAATTTGCATCATTTCTTTTATTGCGTATCAATCGTAATTTTTCTTCAAACTGTATGAGATGAGTACTAAATGATATTAATAATAATCTCCTAAGTCTGTTCGTTAGGTAAGTCCAAGATTCTAATGAACGAGGCATTTTGCTCGTAGGATCTACCAATTGGAAGCATCTATAGGATGCCAATTAATAAGGAATAGCTAAATTTAGCAGGCATAGAACATTTTAATTTAAATTAATTATAAGAGTATAAATAAAAAAATGTAACCTATCCTGCTGCTTCGTGATGTTGAAATCATTTCTAATCTTATCGTACACAGATGATTTCGTCAGATTTAATTTTGACTTCATTCTCGAGCCATCAGCACTAGTAATAAGGATAATGCACCAATCATTTACATCGTAGTTTTTCAGAGTTCTTAACCATTCACTTATTTGCAGTTTGTGCTTAGTTTTATAGGTATCCAAATCCTGTAATATATAATTCGCTGCTTACAATCCTATCTTTTAGTTGAAGGCAGAAACATGCAGTACCACCTCATAAAATATAGACTATTAACATGTAAAATAGTCTACACATATATTTAAAGTAGAGGTGAAAAATTTTATCACAGCGAATAACTCCAGATTACGAAGAGCTCTCAGATTTAAAGATATAGTTAAATGCTATAACTCGAATTAGTTTTCAATACTTGACGTAAAATAAGACAGAAGTTAGGATACTATCAACAGTATCTTACCGCACAGTCGGTAACGTAGATGTGGAAGAAAGGCACTTTATAGAGGCTGTATTTGGATTCGTCTTCAATCTTGAGTAAATTTTCATCAAAGACAGCAAAATCAACATTTATGGTGACATATTTCGGTGGAAAGTTGAGGGATCTGAAAAGATAATAATATGTGCGTTGTATCAGGATTATTAATGGTAGGGTAATTATATGGATCTAAATAAACTATACTGCGGTAATGTTTTAATGTAAGTAAGATACATCATATAAAAGTTATTAATATACATGCATAATGCAGTTGATGCTGCGAATAAACACAGATTAATGCCAGGGGCATTTACATTAAGTAGAAATATACATTTAACAGTAAAGGATATTTCCAATTTTTAGACTCAGTCTTAATGATTTGTATTAAAATTTGCATCTTTCTAAGCTGAGGTATACAGACATACAAAACATTTGAATATAAAAATATCGCAATATTAACTCGTCATAACAGTACCTTTGAAATTCAATTTCTTCATTTGGCAATCGAGAACAGAGATGACGATATAACAAGGTATATAGCTCTCGATCTCCAAGACCTAAAATAGTATATCGGTAAAAAAAACACATGTAATGATGGTAATATTCATAGTATTTAAAACTCGTTTTAATAAATTTAATTCTATGTTGTAAGATTATTGAATGTCTACTATAACCTTGAAATGTTGATGATCCAATAATGTTGTAACACGTATAATACATGCTACTTCTGCATTATAAAAGCTCATATATCAAAACTACACTACATTAGTAAACAGGTATCGTTTGCCACGTAGCTCCATCCATATGCACTATACGAATATGTTGTGTTAAACTAGGTAGGGGCATTTTACATTAACTAACCTGAAAACATTAGAGTAATTGGCAAGGGTTTGAAGCGTAATCAAAAAGCCGAAATATCTTATTCTACTTTGAGTTTGTAACTACAAGGTCAAAATGATTAACTAATAACTCCACGAAATGAATGTGTAATGCAATGCAAGATAATGATTTGACTGTGTTCAATTTCTACTTGTATACCATGCCGGGTTGGTTTTCTTGCTTATGATATCGCTAAGCGTGCTGAACTATGATGTATACTAGGCCAAGTGACTAGTCTACGATATTTTTTTGTCTGGTATAACCGACAGATTACCACAAGAAATCTAATGGAAAAGCATTCTACTGATATTCTTCTCCATAGTGTATAACAGGGATAACCTAATTAGAATGATGGTGTTAAACGAATAATGCAACTTCCTTCGATGTTCTGCAAGACGTATTATTCTCTTAACTACACGACCAGTTATGCAATATCATTTACCTTTTTGGCCTATATTGGATTTAATACTGTCCCATTATACTGTATTGAACTGCAACATGGATAGAATGCACAATGTGTTCTGAAATACTTGATTTCTTGCTTCATGATGTATACTTTAGCGTGAACTATGACGACGTCCAGTACAATTGATTACTTTAGAAAATTAAGTAATAAGCTAGTCGATTGCTTGTATAGCTGTAACACGTATAATGCATTTACTTCTCTATTATGCAAGATTTATTACGATTCTAAACTACACCAGCCAGCAATGTTTTCATGCTAGATATATGATATAATCATTCTCCCTTGTCTATTTTGCTCATTCTTATCGCATTGTACATTTTCTACGGCATCGTCATCTTGTCTATCTTATAACACTTTCTCGAGCTACCTTAACTTACAAAATTAAAGTGATTAACAAACAAGTGTAAAATACTTAGGCGTACATGATACAATAGGCTTGCTTTCTGCCATTCTTCAAGTGGTCCAGGAATTTGAATCTCGTTGTGGTGAAAAGGTTATCCTGGTAGGTGATAATTCGACCTTGAATCACAGTTGTAAAATTTACAATGGAATGAAACGTTTCTTTGCTCAAAGCCACCAATAGTATAATAAGTAGAAGACAGTGTTACTATTTTCTTGGTCGATTACCAGCTTTCAAGGACTAGAGAAGGAATAATCCTAATTTTTTCAATAGCATGGATTGAACTTGTTTACCTAATGGCTGCAATGCTCGAGCTGACTGATCCGGTAGTTATGACAACAGCAGGAACACGACTGCACAGTTTAAGCAATGGAGAATGACAACGCCATGACTTGACAAGCAGCCAAGAATGATGATTAAGACAGCTACTTCTAATGATTTCAAGGATTAAAGGGAAGGAATGACTATGCCATCTGGGAGAAATGGAATTAGTTATAGCTAAAAAGCTTTGGAAAGAATTTGCCAAGGATGCTATGCTGTACTGTAGCTCTTCGAAAGGTAGTAGTGGAGTAAAGAAAGCAATTGCAATTTCCTCATACTCTACGTCTACGACGTAGGTCATGTTTAGGCATAACTCCTACTAAAAATGGGCAGGGCAGCAGGCAGCCACCCGTGCGTTACATACAGTACATGGCACTGTATATGTACAATATATTGTACTGTAAAAAGGTTCCACTGTACTGTACACTGTACTGTACTGTACAAGACGACTGTCTTCTTCTGGGTCACCTCCCATATTCCGTGTCCAATCGTCCTCTCCTGTCCACAGACAGTTGCTGTTGCTATGGCTATAGGTGGGCGTGGATACGGCATGCCTATGTTATGCTGTTGTGCTGAATTGCTAAAATAGAGAGTGTAGTGGTGATATTTTAAAAGTTGCCTATGGATCTCATACAGTACGTAAAAACAGCAAAGAATAGGTATAGTAAAAGAAGTTAATGATCTGATAAGAAAAATCCAAACTCATGTAGTTCCATAAGCCATATCGATACTATAGGATGCAAACTATGATTGGATGTCAATTTATACTTTTTATCCTACATTGAACGAGTTCTAGCTTTTAACCATGGAAAGTTAAGAAAAGGAAATAATCGTTATACACATTAAATCCAATCAAGACATTATGCAAATAAAATATTTCATAAACGATAGATTAAACCTATACATTGTCACTGTAAGTCAAATCTTAAAGGATTTAAATTATGTCAAATTTGTGCAAATAACTGCACTAATCATTATTAAACGGGTACAGTTTCATTAGCAAGATTTAAAATTACAGATAATAATCAATTATTAATCGTAGACTTTTAAGATTCCCGATAATTACATTATGAAGAAATTATCTATAAAGCAAATAGTTAATCAGAAATTGATCATAATTGAACAATCAGTAATATTGAATTTCTATTAGATGCATATTGTTATTGGCACAATCCACAACTAAAGTTTTCAGATAACTCTTTATCGTAAGAATTCGATGTTTACAGTTTCTAGCTTCAAGTATGATGCATGATTGCATTTTATGGTATCAAGTACAATTATTGCGGTGGAGAGCTCGATAATTTAGTAAAGTTGAATTCGTAGGCTTCAAAGTTATAATTAATACGATACACTGTTATTAAGAAAATAAGTTTATTATATTAATTTACGCTGTAAATGGCATATGGTACATAAAGTAAATAGGCAGCTATAACAATCATAATTATAAAACCAACAAAGATATGAAACAAAAATGAACAATATTTCTACCCTTGGGGTAGAGCACGCATAGGAGAAAGACTGCAGAACTATAAATATCGTATAGTATACCATAATTAGGCACAATTGCATGGTGTGATGGAGATTTATTTCATAGAAGTTCAATCTAGTTAAAACGTTAACTACTTTTGAACTGAACTAATATAACAAGCAATCAGCAATCGGACTGCAAAAAAAGAACGTACCATATGCTATGATTGTGTATGCAATCAATCTTGTTAAAGCGCACTTGTTAAGTTATGCTGTTGCAAAAATATCACTGCACAACAATAATGCTGCAATATCGTGTTGTACCGTAAGCATGAGTATATGCTTATAAGCATAGATCTGTAATTTACCTTAGGTAGCAACATATCAAACAACATATTTAGCAGTATACTGGTACCTATAGTAACAAAAACGTAGGTAATATGTCATGCCATATCTAATGGTGCAATTTTTACTTTTACTACGTCGAAATATATCACTAGATAATTATAAATTTGATCTTGTTAAAACTCACTATATCTTGCTTGAATCGCATGAAAATAGCTATTAAGTCGTAGTAAGAAACTACCATCTCCAATGACCTAATAAATGCTTAAGTAATAAGTCACACTATATGTGGCATTTTTACTAGATCTGTTACCGTAAAATATATCAGTAGTTTATAAAAAGCTGGACTTTATTAAAACGCACTGTTTTGCTTGAGTTATATAAAAATGGCTTTCAGGTTGTAGTTATAAAACTAGTGTCTCAAACAACGTTGATTAATATATTCAATTCTATCCTATTACTCTCAGTATAGCGATGCGTAAAATTTGGCGTTCGACTAATGTTTTTAATAATATTTCATAACGTTGTAATAAAGTGTCTTCTCCATAGTACAACAAGAACTGCTGTTTCTTATAAACTTCACTTTATTAAATAAGATTAGGTTTGTCTTATAACTACCAAGGATTATCTAGCTGCAATACGGCTATCTCTAGACTTTCTTAATTAATACGGCAATTTTCACGATTTATATACAATTAGTTACGTAATGATTTTCCTTCAATGCAATCATATCTTAACAAATATGTCATAAGGTCATATCTAAATTTGCTATCGTGTTATCAATGCATAATTTACGCTCTTAATTAAAGCGATACAATACAAATCTCAAAGTACTAACTTACTTAGCGCAGTCTGTTATCATATCAGAACTAGTAGACCCCTCACTCGTAACACGCAATATATTGTACATGCACAATTTCCTGACTGAGCATTATACTGTATATACACAAAATGGTTCACCTGCAATTTACAACTTCATAAATTAATTAAACCAAATTAAATTTTCAATGTTGCTTTCTGTAGTCTTAACTTAACAGATAAAGTACTATAAATTCTCGATTAAATAATATAATTTTATGATTTTCGTACGGTATATAACGATACTATAGCAACGTGATGACCTGTAAGAAACGCGTAGTGCGTACTTTTCTCTCCTTTTGGGGGGGGGGGGGGGGAAAGTGGAAAGGGGAAAGGGGGAAAAATGGTAATATAAGGATCTCAAAAAAATTGC